ATATATATATATATCTAATGTGTGTACTAAGAGATAATTAATTAATTAATAATATCTTTCCTCGCAATTTCGAATATCTTTCTATCATATCTATAGATTCACGACGTGAGTCCCGCGGATATATATCGTCCTTTATCTAGTGCCGCCGAGCTTTGGAGAGAGCTTTGCCTAGAGCACAATACGAATTTAATGAGATAAAATACCGCGTCGGATCTTACAATCTGCTCGAGATTTACCGATGATTTATCTACGATTCATTCTTGGAAATGCTAATGACGAACTTGCGTTCCTTCATTATGCTTAAGGGGGCATACCCGTTTGAAACCTCGAAAAATGAGTATTTTCTAGATTTTTTTGCAGAACAACGATTTGATAAAAATTTTTAATTTCTTTGCAATATTAATACAATATTATTAACTACTTTAATAAAAATTTTCAGCTTAAAAAAAATTTTTTTTTAAAGTTATGAGAATATTTGAATGATCATATCCGAAATCAAAAATACAAGTTTTTTTTCATTAAACATATTAATAGCTATTTGCTATCCAAACGTTTTTTCAAAATTTTCAAAAATAAAAAAAGACGTGTTGAAAAAAAATTTCGTTTTTTTGAAAAAAGTCCATCTTTTTTTGTTTATAACAAAAAAATAGGAAATCGGATTTAAAAAAAGCTTCGTTAGCAAATGCGGAATTTTATTAGAAACTCGCATGCAAAATTTGAAGTCAATGCGTTGAACATAGCACGTAGCCCGATTTATGTTTTCATATACGGTGTGCATGAAAACATAAATCTGCAAATATTCGCATAACTCCTAAAAAAATTTTTTTTTTAAGCTGGAAATTGTTATTTAAATAGTTAATAATACTGTAATAATATTGTAAAAAAATTGAAAATTTTTATCAAGTCGTTGCGCTGCAAAAAAATCTAGAGAATGTACTCATTTTTCGAAGGTTCAAACGGGTATGCTCCCTTAATATCGGAGAAATTATTTATCTTTTCGCATCTCAACACGCGTTTCCACCCTTCCGCGATTCGTCGCACGCAAAGTCGTTCGTGGCGCGCGCGCAATACTTTATCAAGGGATTCACCGATATACGCGGATATAAAAAAAAAAAGGATATATATATATTGTACATATATGTTATATATATATTTAAGTAAAAATGTGTCGAGAGATTGGACTAGATTTTTGCGCGCGTGGAATCGGCCGTAGATATGAGCGATATTAAAAAACATTTGATTATGTAAGAGAAACGATTTCTCTCTCTTTCGCGTTCATCTTTTATAATTCGATAAATACCATATGACTCTACATCGCTAGTGATGGGCATTCAATTATTTATAATTCAATTAATTATAATAATTATTCGAATTTTTTATAATATATTCGAACGAATTCAAAGCATCTTGATTTCTATCATTAAACATCGCCAACAATGTAGCGTCCAAAGAAAAATTACGTCAATGATATACGGTGTCCGAAAAGAAATTCAGTATCTAAAAGTCATTGCGTCGGCACGCGCTATAATAATTACGCACCATTTCTCGAAAGATAGAGAAAAAGAGAGAGGACAAATTTAATTATTAAAAATTAATATCTACGAAAAAATTGCTCAAACATATATAAAAATACCAAATATCTCATGCTTAATGTGCGAATATTTATACGATAATCGATTGAATATTATTTTAAGCTGCAGTTCATTTTTCTAGCCACTAAAAAGATTCGGGAGTTTAATTAGAATTTAATCCGAGTAATATATCTACGCATCGCCGCGCGATATTTCACAAAACACTACTAAACGTTGTTTTCTTTGTACACAACATAAATTGCATAAACTTCCTTACGTCGCTGGTTCGTGAGTAATGGTCATCATCCGTCTATAAACTTCGTCCGATCTGTCGAACAGAATCTACTAGAGTATCGGCGCGAGATAAACGTCTCTCCCCAGTACAATCGGACTCGCGGCGAATCGACGAACGAATCGAGTCTCGGAACACTTGTCGAAAACGCCGTTTAATACGAAATAAAATGCGGCGACAACGGGGGACGGAATGCGTAGGGTCGACGTGGAGCGAGCGCGTACTACCGTTGGGGGTGCGAGTGCGACATGTGGGGATGATAGGCGTGATGGGGCGGCAGGGGCGAGGGGCAGGACTGCTGATAAGGGCCTCCGGCGAGCATCGGGCCCGGGCTCGAGCACGGCACGAGGTGCGAGCTCGGCGAGGCGGCCGCCGCTGCCGCTGCTGCGTGTGCATGCGCTATGAGCTGCGCGTGCTGCGCGTGCGAGGGTGGCGCGTGCTGCGAGCCCGGTGGTGGCGGCGGGGGTGGCGGCCCGGGATGGGGTCCCGTATTCGGGCCACCCGCTGGCCCGCCACCAGGATAGCCGGCGTGCAGCGAGCCACCGTGCGGCGAGCCGTACACCAATTGCCTTACTTTCTGCTCGTCGTCGGCAATGTTGTACGTCAGCTCGGTCTCCTCGAAGCCGGTGGCCGACATCCTCTGGTCGCCCGACGAGCCGGACGGCGGCGGGTCCGGGCTGTTGAGGCACGTCTGGATCAACGCCTTGCCGGCCTCGCTCGTGATCATCGGCTGCAGCTTGCGCGTCGCGAATGTATACACGTGGCCGGTCTCGCTCGCCACCAGCAACATCACCTGCGTGCCCGTCAGCGTTGACAGCTCGTATGCCTGCAAGTAAGGATCACAGATCCCGATACCTTGGTTAATTCCGAGATAAACAAATCGATTTATTTTATATAGCTAAATATTTTATAGTCCACATAATAATGTGGACTTATTCGTAAAATCTCAGTGTTTCTATTTTGTTCCCTTTTCTCACATTATATATAGATTGAAGGAGCATCGATATATCAAAAGCTACGTGACATTCTTGATGCATTTTACAAAGAAAATAATTATTATAGCGCTTTATACTGATGCTTAAACTGCGAAATAAATATCAATGTGAAAGATGACTTTCAAATTAAAAGGAATGCTCTACATCCAACGGGAACATGTTATGGGCCATTTAGATAGTATCGCACGATCAGAAAAACCTTTCAATATAATCATCATACGATATATATCTCGCATAAAACATGTACATATATATATATATATATACAATATAATTTGTAACAGTGATCCAGTATTTTTTAAATATTTATATTTATAATATATATAATCGATCGATTGTTTTTAAAAACATAGATGTATGTATGTAGAAGAGCAGAGGAATTACATTATTGGTATCTAATAAATTTTATCTCACTTTACTCCATATATAAATCTTTTTTAAATTGTTATATTTACATCAAAAATATTAAGTAGTAAATATATTCACTATCTATAGTCTATTCCAACATTGTTGCACTCGATAATAAGGTGCATAAAACATGTACATATATATATATATATATATACAATATAATTTGTAACAGTGATCCAGTATTTTTTAAATATTTATATTTATAATATATATAATCGATCGATTGTTTTTAAAAACATAGATGTATGTATGTAGAAGAGCAGAGGAATTACATTATTGGTATCTAATAAATTTTATCTCACTTTACTCCATATATAAATCTTTTTTAAATTGTTATATTTACATCAAAAATATTAAGTAGTAAATATATTCACTATCTATAGTCTATTCCAACATTGTTGCACTCGATAATAAGGTGTGAAAAGGGGAAGAATCTTGTTGACATCAAGTGTCACAAATAATTTGTTGAGCATTTTCAAATAATATATTACATTATAATATGCTTAATTAAAAGCAGATATAAATTACTTTATATTAAAGACTCTGAAATATTAATATGCTGCAAATATAACGATAATAAAATTGTTCACATTATTTCATTTATATACCATCTTATAAATATATAAATGTATAATGTATTGTATTTTTATTCTTTGGAATATAAATACATTAATATTAATGAAAATTTAATGTTCAGTTTGCTTATGATAAATTACCTTCAAGTTGAATATATACTTGAATAACGGAACACCGTTTTACGAATAATAGTCCCCTCTGATTTAATTATAAATCGATGTTATCTAAAGACACGATATCGTCCTACGCAAAGAGGATCTTGCATTTATTAAGCTATCTTGCATACTACCTTATTGACGATTAGAATTAGAAAACACGTTTAAACATGTAACAATAGTCGCTCGAATAATTGAAGCAAAAAATTTGCAATTATAATATGCTTAATTAAAAGCAGATATAAATTACTTTATATTAAAGACTCTGAAATATTAATATGCTGCAAATATAACGATAATAAAATTGTTCACATTATTTCATTTATATACGATTCTCTCATGAGATTAAGTTATTATTTTATTCTTCACTAAAGATAGAATAAGATATTTGTTTAGAATAATAAAGAACATAAATCCAAAAGTAATAAGGATGAAGTAATGGATTAGTAACACGGAGAAAAGAATGCAGAGTTCGGAATTAATAGTCATCTTTTTCTGTAAATAGCCAATTTTATTTAAATCTAGTCGATTTGAAAAAATACATGTTACAGAAATATACTAACATATATTTTTTTAAATTACACATTGTTATCTGATTTCTTTTTTATATTTTAAGATATATTTTAGAAGAATTAGATATTATAAATTGTTCACATTATTTCATTTATATATCATCTTATAAATATATAAATGTATAATGTATTGTATTTTTATTCCTTGGAATATAAATACATTAATATTAATAAAAATTTAATGTTCAGTTTGCTTATGATAAATTACCTTCAAGTTGAATATATACTTGAATAACGGAACACCGTTTTACGAATAATAGTCCCCTCTGATTTAATTATAAATCGATGTTATCTAAAGACACGATATCGTCCTACGCAAAGAGGATCTTGCATTTATTAAGCTATCTTGCATACTACCTTATTGACGATTAGAATTAGAAAACACGTTTAAACATGTAACAATAGTCGCTCGAATAATTGAAGCAAAAAATTTGCGAAATAATTGTTCACATTTTTTATTATAAAGCTCAATGTTTGTTTATAAAATATAAAATTATTATAAAGTTAATTACAAAATATATAAAGCAACACTAAAAAGCGGCACTACATTAAATTATAATCAATCTTACGAAACTGTAATAAATTTCATAATTAAACTTTAATAATTGGAAGAATATGCATCACCGCGATGTAATGTCTTATCTCAAAAACAGATGTAGCATATCTCTCTGTATTTATACGCAATATACTTTTCAGATATTATATTCTTTTAAAATCTTACGTAAAAATATGTAGAGCTAAATCGAAATCTGTTCATTAAGGAGATGAGTGATTTAGCGGTTTCTAAAGTCTTTTACTTTAAGAACAATTAAAAGCATACATAAATTCGACATGGATTCTTAATTAAAATCTGAAAATTAAAGATAAAATAATATATAGTCAGTAATGGTTCGTATTTTCTAGAGATATACTTCGTTATTTACATGTTCTTTGTGGACACAGTCTTTAATCAAATATGAGATCATGAACATTGAATTTAATCGCTTCCGGAGCGATGCGGATCGCTTTAATTCAAAATCTCTCTCTCTCTCTCTCTTTTGCCCTCAAGCGATATAACTTTACTTCGCTACTTCTCTGCCGCTTTCTAAATTACAAACGTGTTATAATTTTATTTATAGCAAAATTATATATTTTTATATAATCCCGATTGACAAATTTTATATTTTACAAAAAATAATTTTAAAAAAACAACAAAAATTATAATTTTTTCAAGCGATTACTAATACATTACGGCCGTATTGGTACATATTTCATTTAAATACATCATGACTATTTATTACATGAGATTCTCTCATGAGATTAAGTTATTATTTTATTCTTCACTAAAGATAGAATAAGATATTTGTTTAGAATAATAAAGAACATAAATCCAAAAGTAATAAGGATGAAGTAATGGATTAGTAACAAAAGTTATTAAGTTGAGCAATAAAGTTTGAGTACTGTCAAAAAAATAAGTACAATAATAATAAGCTCATGCGATTAAAGACAGGTTGTTTTGTTTTTTAGAGAATATAAAAAAAAATGTAGATAGATTTAAAACATCTTTAACATAAATGACGTAATTAATACTACGTCTCTCTCATCAGCCACAAAGTAACATTCATGATAAATAATATGCATGAAAAATATACGTGAAAAAATGAAAACTGCTCTTGCGAGTTGTCAAAATTTATACAGATCTTTGTGACAGATATCGAGAAAATTAACAAGAGGTCATTTTGTATTATATACAATTTGAAACAAGAGCGGGAAGAGAGAGCAGGTTATACATTCTCTTTTGCCCTCAAGCGATATAACTTTACTTCGCTACTTCTCTGCCGCTTTCTAAATTACAAACGTGTTATAATTTTATTTATAGCAAAATTATATATTTTTATATAATCCCGATTGACAAATTTTATATTTTACAAAAAATAATTTTAAAAAAACAACAAAAATTATAATTTTTTCAAGCGATTACTAATACATTACGGCCGTATTGGTACATATTTAAATTTATTACACGATACAAACCTTCTTCATGATGCCGGTCTTCCTCTTGGAGAACGTGGTGTACCGCCTGAGCTTATTGTCGATGTACTCCATTTTAATTTTAACCCGACCCTTGGTCTTCTTGCCGTTCGAGGGGGGTGACTTTTTGGGCTGGCCGAGGCTGGTGAAGGACTCGTCTAGATTATCGGGCACGCAGTCGCCGGGCATGCCGGGCATGCTCTGCGTCTGCGAGAGCGCCTGCTGCCGGACGGCCGTGTTATTGCCGTCGTCGCCGTAACAGACGTCGGACGTGGTGCGCTTGATGCCCCGCTGAACGGGTCCGACGCCGGGCGTCGCGGCGCCCATCATGGTGGCGCCCCCGCGGCCCATCTGAGAAGCCGCCGTGGCCGCGAGCTGAGAGGTGGACGGTCGGCCGTAAATCTCCGCGCCAGTATCGCTCCCCATCATCCCCATGTAGCCGAGGCTCGTGTACCGACCGTCTCTTCCGCCGCTAGGGTTGTCCATCGCAGCGTCGGCGCGCACATTTAATCCCTTCCCCACGACGGCGGCGGCGGCGCGTCTTTGCCACGGTATCGCGTGCGGAACTCGTCGCAGTGTCCACCACGTGATCGATCATCTAGAGGAACACGGGACAACAACGCGCACCGCACGAGCGCTCCCCGCGAACTGAATGCGCGCGCGGAGTATCGTAACTTGACCTACGTGCCTGTGCCTACGGCGGAGATGCCTCCGCGTGTCGTTGCGATCCGCGGCCGCTGCCCGCCCCCCCACCATCGCACGTCGACGCCGTGAAAAACTAGTCCGCGGTAACGACACGGCCGTTCGCGGACGGGGATCCGCGCCGAAATCGTCGTCGAAAAATCCCGGGTACGTCCGATCGTCCGAATCGTCCGTCAAAAGGATCGCCCGCGTGTCCGTTGACGGGATATTCGGACGCGAATGCGGACGCGCAGTGTTACAGAGCGCGACGAGGGTAATAATCTCTGGCTTTTGTGTGAGTTTATATAATACACTAACAAGAGAAAGAGAGAGAGAGAGAATTATCGTAGGAAAATTAACAAGAAAAGTGCATAATAAGAATAGCTAAAAAATAAAAAGTAAAATAGGATAAAAAAGATCTTTTCAAAGCGTTAATCATCAGACTAGCAAAAAAGAAAGAGAGGAAGAGTTCGATATCTTATTAAATCGCAATAAAAATACAAGAGACGGAGAGGAAGAGAGAAAGTTCTAATAATTAATTAAAAATAAATATGATTCTTACACAAATAATTTTTGAACTGTCGTAAATCCCCAGTTTTCACTCGCAAAATTTTGTAAAAATATATCGGTGCAAAAATTATGCTTTTAAAATACGTAATCATAATTTCTGATTTTATCTTACTTATTTGCAACCAACTAATATATAATCGTTCAGATTATACGACATGCGTTTTGATTTTAATATTAAATTCAGATAGCGTGAAAATTATTTCTGTATTTATTTTTGGTTATGGAAAAATGCATGATAGGCGATCTAACGTACACAATTATCTTTGTACGCATTCGTAAATTAAATCCGCCACATAATTATTCGGCTTTTCTCCCTGACTGAATTCGCGCGCGTCGGAGTCAAGGGAGTTATACAATAGCATGTTGCACCGACTAGAATCTGCGGATTAAGAAACCGAGAAACTCGTCTCTTTTGGATTGCAGTCCAATCTTCGTGTCCCCGATAGAAAAACGCAAAGCTAATCAGAGTGAACGCAAACTGCTACCTCGACAAGCGACCCTAGTTCGAGCGTGTAATAGCGGGAGCGAACGAACGCGCTGTCACTGATGACTCGCGTGCGCCGAAGGTCGTGGTAAAAACGTAGGTAAAACGTAGTGTTTTTTCAAAAAAAAAAACCTAGGTAAAACGTAATATTTTTCCAGAGAAACCTAGGTATGTTGTCAGTATTTTATTCTGATTTTATAGTGATATTATTTTTATAGAGCTCAATACACTTTCTCTTTCTCTCTCTCTTTCATTCCTGTTACTAAGTTACACGGTCCAAGACGCGACAATGATATCGTCGTCGTCGACGAGTGATTTTTGCGACGAGAAAAGTTATTAAGTTGAGCAATAAAGTTTGAGTACTGTCAAAAAAATAAGTACAATAATAATAAGCTCATGCGATTAAAGACAGGTTGTTTTGTTTTTTAGAGAATATAAAAAAAAATGTAGATAGATTTAAAACATCTTTAACATAAATGACGTAATTAATACTACGTCTCTCTCATCAGCCACAAAGTAACATTCATGATAAATAATATGCATGAAAAATATACGTGAAAAAATGAAAACTGCTCTTGCGAGTTGTCAAAATTTAATCCCGGGTACGTCCGATCGTCCGAATCGTCCGTCAAAAGGATCGCCCGCGTGTCCGTTGACGGGATATTCGGACGCGAATGCGGACGCGCAGTGTTACAGAGCGCGACGAGAGGGCGTCCCCGGCTGCCATATTTAGAAGTAGACGTTACCATATTAGGGAAAGTTTGCCAAATATGGTGAACAGAGGTGGTCCTTCCTTTTCGAATAATCGCACGGCGCGCCGCACCGAAACACCAATCCAACTGACAGTAGCGTTTCCTGCACGCCTTTCCGACCCCCTCTGACCGAATCCCCCTGTATTCGGTGTATTCTCCCTCTGTACATGCGACATACATACATATTGCGATCGCGCAAATCTCAACGGCGCCGACCCGAGAGCCGTGTCACGGATGTAAACTGCGGCTTCCGAGTTTTTATCGTCGCCGTTATACGCGCGAACCGCATTAATCGTTTCGCCGTCGAGGAAACTCCTCCCTTAAGCGACGTCATTCACGGAACTCTAATGAGACGTTAACGGCGTTACGCTGTCACGCGAAACGTTCGATACATCTCTCTTGATAATTGACTACCTCGAGAATATCTAATGATCTTTTCTCCACAACGGTTTTCATCGTCGAGTACTCTGGTATATGGAATTTTTTAATTACAATACGTTTGCAGTTGTAGAGGAATGATTGATGTCTTATGTAAAAATATATATATTACTTTTTGTTTAATAGAACGCATTTCAAAATGGGTAAAATTACTTGGAAAGAATACTTCTATAAATTTAATCCACATTTATATTAGATATAGTTTTAATATCTGTATCAGCTTGAAGATATATATATTAAAACATACATTTTCTTTAAAAATGCTCTCTCTCTCTCTCTCTTTCAAAATATATATACACACACATACATATATATATATATATATATATACTATATATTAATTATAAAATAAAAATATATATTTTACAATTTAAATATTTTATTAATAGCAATACTTATATATTTCAAAAAACTTATATTTATAAATTAGCACGTAATTACAATCATTACACTTTATTTCCCCTATGTTTTATATTTTCCTGAGCATTTAAAACATTTTTCTCTAAACAAGTTCATAGAATTAAGGTTGTTCTCCAGACGATATTGCACGAGCGTGAGACATGAGAGCGTCGTGAATATCTCGTGCATACGCCCCTTGTGCGCGCACAGTCATCAAGAACTGTGGATAAGATAGGGCTGGTCCCTCTTGCGTACTCACTGTGTCAGTACGATTTGTTATAACAGACATTGGTAGATATCGAAGCGAGCTATTATTCTGCGACAGACACTCCACGGAGGTTTTCAGATGCAGTTCTATTTGATCACAGATGGAGTAAAACTCTTCCATATGCTTGTTGAATCGATGATCAGGCTGATCTATACCCTTCATGGATCCCACATCGACCAAACTATTTTGATGTAACGTATGTGCCGCGGTTTTGAGAGCTATGCCTAGAGATTCTCTCAAAGGTCCAACCAAGGATTTCACTTTAGATATGTTATCCAGCTTATCTTGGGTTTGCTGTTGCTGCTGCTGTTGGACTTGTTGTTGCTGCTGCTGTTGGACTTGTTGTTGTTGCTGCTGCTGCTGTTGCGCCTGCTGTTGATTCTGAGACATTTGAGAATTTACTGACTGTCCCATTTGTCCTACTCCCATAGCTCCCTGCTGTTGAATTGGTGGGATATTCATCTTGCTCCTATTAGATTGTGTGTAATCATATATAATTCTTCTTCCTAAGAAAATATCCTAAAAAGTTAGTATCGAGAGAGTTAATTTAATTTTTAGTACATAACAATTTGTATTACATCTTTATATCAGACATACATCTATTACTTTTAGTATTCAAATTATCTCTCTTAATACAATTTTATTTACAAAAACATAATTTTATTAATTTGATAAAACATTATTGTTATTCCTTCTTACCGACTTCTGTAAATTGAATTTGTTGAAAATTAGATAAAATTATCAATGTTTGTTTATACAAGAATACACATACAGATATTACAGGTTAGGGGAGCTTTCGAAACTGTCGAATTTGCGCATGGGCGGAAATGACAGATTAGCGCATGCGCATGACATTACTGTTTCGAAAACAACGCCAATAAAAATATACTCGCTAAACCAAACTTCCTCAAAAATCAATGTAATTTCCGTTCACAGAGAAAGAGAGAGACACATAAAAAAAACTTTCGTAAATTTATAATTCATGGAAAATGTAATTTATTCGATGGCTACTTGATCGTTATTCAAACCAAACAATATATACGATTATCGATAATGGCTGTGTCACTGCTCGCGTCCAATGAGTATATTGGAGCGAGCATTCCCTATAGAAAATTGGGGTAAGAATTAAAAAGAGACATGTATATTCTATGGATCTTCGTCTCCTTTTACATTATATTATCTGAACTAAAAACATTACCCGTCAGATATTTAAATACACAGTAATAGGAAATGTTTTGGTTTTGTTTATAAATTTAAACAGTGAGATTAAAAAAGATGAAACGAATTATTTATCTTTTCTTCAATTCGTAAAATACATACAAGGTCAATGTTTTTGACTATGATACTATAACAGCGTCAACCAATCGGCGAATCGGCTGATAAAGAAGGCGATCCATCCGTGTATATATCCTTTTCTACGAAATGTATCATTTTCCCCACCCTCGAAGGCACCCTCGCGTTCGGTGCGAATCGCCCTTTACCTTTGACGGCGGCCAATCGGGACGCGCGGACGACAGGGAGCGAGTCGAATTACGCATGGCGTCCGACGCCATCTAACGACTGGCATTC